AGTTCTGTTAGAGACAAGTCAACCTAACAAAAAGGTACGATATTGCAGCACACATTTAATGCCCCATGTCCAGGTCTTTCCCTACATTTCCAGCAATTTTACTTGGCACTCAAATACCCCCTCACTTGCCCAATAAAGTGTCGATGGGAGCGACATATATAAGTCAAATACTTTTTGCTTTTTGGTCGCTATGAAAACAACTCGAGTAAATATTTATTTGATTGCATTCTCAATTTGAGCTGAAACTGTGCACACACTCCCTATGCACGTATAGAGATGTCTATATATGCGTATGTGTATAAATATGTATATATCTAACATTTGATATTGTCTTGAGCAATTTCTTTTAATTTCTTCAGCACGATTGCGTAGTTAAGTTTTCGAATTCTCATTAGACTAAGTTGCCAGCCCACAGACACACACATACACACTCACACACACGCACGCACACAGAGACACACATACAGAGAGCTATCTGAAGAGCTAGACCGACTCTGACAGACATCAGGGCTGCACCGCAATTCCCCTCCGTTCCACCCCCTTGGGCTGCTCTCAAAAGCAGTCAACCCCCGAAAATCCCCCCAGCACAGCCCCCTGCCAATACCGTAACCACAAAAACTTTGCAGCTTTCCCAAGACTGAGATGGCAATACGTAGCCTGAGCTTGAGACAAAAACTAATGCATATGTTTAGGCATTTTAATTTATATACGACAACCCACACACACACACATGCACACATAGGCAGACACTCAGACAGGCAGGCAACTTCTAAGAAAGCTCACACATGCACACGAGCTAACCCCAGCCCCTGGCAGCGTGCTCTGCCTCTCTCACCCCCGCCCCTCGGCTGGCTGCTGCCGGCGTCGTTGATAAAAGCAACTTCCATTTCATTTAAACTACAATTTTCTTGACAGCGCACAGAGGCAGCCGCCTCAGCATCCGTTTCGTATGGTTGGGGGCTGGATGGTTTGTTGGTTGGGGTTGGGGCTGGGGGCTGGGTTGGTACGTTTTGGGCTAGGGGTTGGCAACCCTTTCACGCACTTATGAGTTAAACGCAAATTTTCTTAGCTGCCTTTTAGGCGCTGAGTCTCTGAGTCTGCACAAATATGTCATCGGCAGTTGGCAGGCACAAGCACTACACACACATGCACACGCACACTCATTCCCTCTCTATCGTCTCTCTCTCTCTGTCTCTCTCACACACACACGTCGCTTGGTAATTCATTATGCGTGTGCTTAGAGGCTTTTGCAGCATTGTAGTTGTAGTTGGAGTCGGCTGCCTGCTTTTAGGCGCAGCAGACAACAATAACAAGCATATACGCCCAAAAATTGAAACCTTTTACCCCCATCTCTGCAGCCCCTCCCCCGCACCCGGCTGGCCTTGCCTTACATTGAACTTGTATTTCCCAGCGAACGTTTCCAATTTGAGTCTTTGGCTTTCCTTGCAAGATGCCACACAGCCCGCATACTTCACTTATTAGGCATGACAAGCAGCGACACTGGGCTATGTGTGTGTGTGCGTGTGTTCTGTGTTTGTGTGTGTGGAGGAGCTGCTGTAAAAGGGCTACAATTTGTCTACTAAAAACTTCAAAAGCGACTACGTTGCGACGCTCGCAGCCCTATGCGAAATAAATGCTCGGATTTAYGTCTAACTCTCTCTGTGTGTGTGTGTGTGTGTGTTTGTGTCTGTGTGCGTGTCTTGCAGGTGTTACCCATACGCCTAGTGGGCTGACAGCGTACAACAAATTGCTTAGCACATCGCGTCGCCTGCCCGCCCGCCCGCACCTATCCCCTCGCTGTCAAAGTCAAGGTTGCCCTAGGAGCAGCTCAGCAGCTTAAGTCAATGCCAGCCTCCAAAGTTGAGCCGAACTCCTAAGCCGAAAACTTGTACATAGCCCAGGCACACGCAGCTCCTTCTCTCACTCTCTATATACGTATATTTCTTTAGATATATATGTATACAGTTGTCTGTATATATTGACTTGGTCCAAGCTGTGCGCCTGTGAAGACTCCCGGCGGAGTTGCTCAACTTCACAAAAATGTCAGTCGTTTGGTTCCTTATGCTAGATTTAACCCCAATCCTCACTCTTCCCCCGTCCTCTCTCTCTCTCTCTCTCTTTCGTTCTCTGCAGTTGTCCAGCCAGCTCTCGTCCATTGACTTTGTCCTGGACGCAGCCTTCACAGCAGCACCCTTAGCCCCCACTCCCATTCCCATTTTAGCTCCCCAGTTGCTTTTCTTGTACCGTTTTAATTAATGGAAAATTTGTACGTTTTCTTCTTATTCATGTGGTCGTTTCTTCAATGCCTCAAGCAAAGGGTAACTTGAACTAAAAGAAATTGCCAGCTAGCATTGAATACGTAGCTTAACCTAAACTCCCACAAAAAACGAAAATCCCCAACACTCGCTCCCTTTATTCAACCCATCCTTCCGGCGCCCTTTGCAGTCCCAGCCCAAGTCCAAGTCCAAATCCAACTATTTTGGCCTCTCATGTTGCGCATCTTCGACTCCTCTGTTGGCTATTTTCGTTTGACAGTGGACAAGATCCAAATTGCCATTTGGTTTCCTCTTGGTTTGATTAGAAAATCGACTTGGGAGTTGTTGCTTTAAGTAAGTTGCATCACTTTTTATTAGGTAACAGCTGCGTGTTTTTTCTTATGAAAGGAAGCAAGTCGTTGGCTTCATTAACTCCAAAGAAGAGACGAGAAAGAAAATGAAATGAATTCTAGTGGAAAATAATATTGAAATCCTTAGAGTTGCGTAAGGAATTCCTTACAAATACAATCAAATTATGTATTTATGTATCAGAGGGAGAGATATATACCTAAGTAATTCCTTGGCGAGCATCCAATTACCTAATTTGCACTTGTTTTAGCATCTCTAATCGGAGGTTTATCCAGTTCAATCCAAACTGTTTCCTTATGATTATTATACGACTTCAAGTTGTTGTAGAAGAGAGGCCTCAGGCAGAGCCATCACAGGGATGGCAATCATTGGGAGAGTTACACACCCACTCTCACAACTCCAACTGCTGCCTTTTATGGCTTACGATGTTTAATAATTGATCATTTGAGTTATTTCATCACAGGTATCAATTGACTTTAACAATGCACTGAAATATTCCGAGCTTATTTTAATAGCATATACAGTACCGAGCAAAAATGAGTGAATGTTACAGAACTTTGACTTTCATCACGCATAAAAATTAAACCATACCAGGAAATCAACAAATTTTTTTGTGTGTTTGTTTATTAGTGTATTCTTAACAAATACAAAAAAGTTGCAAGGCTAAATTAGCAAAATTCAAAAAATTAGAAATAAAAAACCGAAAAAATCCACATAAACTCAATTTTGCACGTTTAAAAAAAACTACTAAAAACTAAAAAAAACTAAACATTTTTAATATTTAGTCCAAAACCCTTATTAGCAATAATTTTGTTGACTATTTTTGGCATGCTCTCAGCCAAACTTTGAATCATTTCTTTCGGAAATTGGCTCCACTCCGCTTCTACGCGCTCCCATAAGCTGTCAATGTTCGTTGGGGCTGCATCATACTGTCCCAGCCGTCTTTTCACTATTGAACACAGATTTTCAATAGGATTGAAGTCGGGATAGGATTTATATATAGACTCTATATGTATGGAGCGAAAATTAGCTTAAAATTCTGCTTTCCTATCCATTCCTAAATAATCTTTACAGTATGTTTTGGATCGCCATCTTGTTGAAAACCCTTTCTCTGTGGGGACACGCACATTTATCAGTGAATTTGGGAAGATGGGTTTGAAGAATATTCATATAATCCTTCCTCTATGTAGAGGATCAACGTTCTACCAAGAGAAGCATCCCCAAACCATAATGCTGCCGCAGCCATGTTTNCACGAGTATGCATGCCAAATTTCAGCTCTCTAGCTCTTATAACTTCTGAGATCGACGCACTCATACGGACGGACGGACGGACGGACGGACGGACGGACGGACGGACGGACGGACGGACAGACGGACAGGGCTATATCGACTCAGCTCGTCGCGCTGATCAAGAATATATATACTTTGTGGGGTCTGCCACGCCTCCTTCTGCCCGTTACATACTTTTTCACAAAACCATTATACCCTGATTTCCCATTTTCAATGGGTTCAGGGTATAATAAGCTAATGCACACACATTTTGGTGTCCGCATAATCAGACTCTTTGACTTAGCTGGGATGCCTTGCTCCGACTGAATGTTAATTAGGAGCCATGTTCAAACTCATTTTCATTTGGACTGGACTGCTGCTCTACCTCCCTTTTTTTTCCTGCTTCAACTTCATTTGTATTGGCAGCTGAACCCCCTACGAGGCAGCATCTAGCAGCGAGCAGCGGACATGCGGGCAACCACTGTCCTGCAACCGCAACCCAAGGCACATAAGGAATGAACGAGAGAGTGGGTGTGAGAGAGGGTGGGAGGGTGAGAGCTGAGACGGAGCCAACGTCTTGGAGTCGATCGAAATGTTTCATTAGAGCCATGTTGGCCACAAATAGCAGAGACTTCGAACGTACCCCAAAAACTTGCCGTTATACCTTACCCACTCCCCCCTGCCCAGTCCTAACCCTCTCGCAAATCCTGGCAACTAATTTGCAGCACAGCATAAAAGGCAACAAAAAAAGAGAAAAGAAGAAAACATCAATCCGTCGGGTAAAAAAGAAACCCCGACTCGACTTTCATCTTGGGCAAGAAAAACTTTGCTGCGAGTGCGGAGCGCGGGGCAAAGGGGGTGGAAGGCAAAGTCGAGGGGGGTGGAGGCGCTTCTTTGACGCTTTTTGCGCATACTTTTGAATGGTCTAACGAGCTCTGGGGTCTGTCGAGTGGAGCAACCTCGACTAATCATTGGGATTTTGGTATATCGAACGCTGTCCCAAAAAACTTTGTTGTGCGGTCATTGAAAGTTCTCCAAAATTGAACTTGTGCTCAGCTCAGTCCGACATTCCTTAACCAGAACCCAAACTCTGCTCTTATTCTATAGGAAACCATACCAGCAGCACCGGCCACAAGCACCGACACCAGCAGCCTGGTTGGTGTAGGAGGCGGCGGCGGCGTCGGCGGCGGTGGCGTTGGAAGTGGTGCTGGTGGTGCCGGCAGCGGACTGGTTGATATTGCCAACAGCCTGAGCGGTGGCGGCAGCGGCGGCGGCGGCGGCGGAGGTGGCATAACCAACGAGTCGGAGGCCTACGCGGGCCTCATGAAGGATGCGGACAAACTGAAACTAATGCTGCTCGCCTGGAACTACCAGAACTCGACGGCTGTGCGCAACGGCACCGAGGGACCCGACCTCAGCGTTGTGGGCGGCCTTTGGGCGCAATATCAGAATGCTTTGGCCCAGAATGCGGCGGCGGTTGCAGCGGCCAACAGTAAAATGGACAGCTCGCTGTCGCCGGTGCCCAGGCAGGATGCGCCGTCGCCCATGGAGGCGCAGGACGAGACGAACTCGTCCGGCCAGAAGGAGGAGGATGAGGTTTCCGAGGATGACTCTGATGACAAGCTGGACGAGAAGCTGGCCACCCCACACGATCCAGAGCGGCTCAAGGCCTTCAATGTGAGTAATGTGCGAGAGTAAGAGGGAGAAAGAGAGAGAGGGGGAGGAGAGAGCGCGTCTCGTCTCTCTCTCATGCCGAATGTAAAGCGAACGTTGCCAATGCTGCCACTTGAAATGGCCAGAGAACCACTCGAATTTCGTAATCAATGCTCATGCCTCTCTCCACTTGCCTTGCAGATGTTCGTGCGTTTGTTCGTGGACGAGAATCTGGATCGCATCATACCCATCTCGAAGCAGCCAAAGGAAAAGATTCAAGCCATCATCGATTCGTGCGCTCGACAATTTCCCGAGTTCAGCGATCGTTCCCGCAAACGCATTCGCACCTATCTCAAGTCCTGTCGCCGCAACAAGAAGACACGAGACGGCTGGGAGAATACGGTAAGTGGAAAGAGTTCATAACATAAGAGATGATGATCTTGCAATGGATTACCAAGCGCATATAGCATAGTCATCATTTGGAGAGAGATCTAGAAGATTTATATATAGGGGCTCACGACTAGGCATTGAGTCTCAAGAGCCTACAGTGATCTCAAAGTTTCAAATATATATTTATATTTGGCGGAATTAAATTTATTAATGTTTTATTTAGTAAAATTGTTCTTAGTATATTTTGTATTTTGTATATTTATATTTATTATATATTTAGATAAACGGATTCGTTTTTTTTTTTCTATTTACACAGAAATTCAAATTATCGAGAATTTTCGAGAACGTATTTTTTCAAGAGGATAGAATTTTTTGCGATTTACCGCAATTTTTGTTTTAGCGGGGCTCATATTATCGAGACTAGACTGTATTATATTTACTAAATATATTATTATGTAATCTATGCTATTTTTATGAAGGACACACTTTTTCACTACTTTGCTCATTTCCGAACATTATTATTTATTTTGTTATTTTTTTTATTTATTTATTTATTTTTTTTTAATTTATAAAATATTGAAGCAATTATGATATTTTTAATCAAAGTCAAGGACCTTGCTACTTATTTAATACAGCTGTATGTGTAAAAAAAGTACAGCTTATACCAATATGGAATATATGTATATGGAATATATATACTTTTATAATTTTTTCATTATATATGTACAAATATACATGAAAACGGAAATTGGCTTTGAGATCTTTTTAGCCACTTTTCCTCTCCTAGCTGCAGATTAGCTTGAATTTACTCTCTGCCCTTCAATATTACGGTATTACGATAGCTAACAAGAATTGACTTGCTAGAGCTCATGGGCTGTAAGATTCGACTCAACAGATTTGGGGACTAAACCAAATTCCAAATTCGAAGATTACAAGAGAAAAACTAAGGCTACTCATTGTTTATTCAGAGCAATTATAAAATTTATAGAATTCATATTTATAAATAACATATTTAATTTTTTTTGTTTTTTTTTTTTTTTGCAGACTCGACCGACGCCCGCTCACCTGACCTCCGTGCAGGCGGAGCAAATCCTGGCCATCGCCTGTGAGAACGAGTCGATGAACGCGAAGCGTATGCGCATTGGCCTGGAGCCCATCACCCACGCGGTGCCGGCGCCGGGCAGCGTTGTGGCCGCCGCAGCGGCTGCCGCAGCGGTGGCCGGCACCAGCACCACATCCGCAAGCAATGCGGCGACCGTCACCTGCACCGCAGCCGACGCGGCTGGGCTGAGCAGCGTGGCCGCCGCGGCGCTGCCATTTGTGAGCGCCGTCGGCTTTGCACGCTCCACGCCCAACTCGGAGCATGCGGACGGCGCGTTCGGCGGCGCAGCGAACATTGCGGGCGCGGGCAGTGCAGGCGGCAACAGCACCAGCGGTGCAGCTGGCGGCGGCACAGGTGGCATGAGCTCTGCGCGCAGCTCTCCGCTGGCATTGAGCTCGAATGCGAGCGTCGGCAGCGCCACTGTAACGGGCCTAGCGCTAGCCAACGGCGGCGCCGGAGCATCCAATGGCGCCGGCCTGCCCTCCAGCAGCCCCTATACCACGGACTTCAGCTCGCCCTCGGCGGCCTCGCCCTTCGTGGCAGCCGCAGCCGCCGCGGCCGTCGCAGCCGGCCGTGCGCCCAGCTATCCTGGCTACTTTCCGGGCGTCGCCAGCCTGGGTAATGGTAAGTAAACATCTACAAGCGCTGCGCTTAAATGAATGCTCCATTGATTGAATGAGATGAGCTTGTTGAGTCTATTAATTAATATAGTTGTAAATGAGGTGGAACTGAAAGTGAAAGTGGAAGCTAAAAAGGAAAACAAAGAGTAGAGCAAAGCCAAGTGAAGTTTCAGCTTTGAAAAGCTATATGAATGATTGCCAATCTATAAGTGTAGATTCAAAAGTTCTTGAAGTCAGTTTTCCTAATATTAAATATCTAAAATTCTTTATTTAATTTGGTTTAACAACAATTTCAACTTTTCTTTCGCTTCTCACTTGCAGTCACGCCCACCGATCTCTCCATGAAGCCAACGACGCTGGGCGCTGGCAGCGGCCTTGCCAGCAGCATCAACAGCAGCAGCAGCAACAACAACAACAGCATCAACATCAACAGCAACACAGTCAGCGCACAGCTAAGTGCCGCCAATCTGGCCACACTGAGCAATGCCAGCAACAACAATGCCCTGGTCACAGCCACACAGCAGCTGCAACAGCTGCAGCAGCAGCAGCAGCAACAGCAACAACAGCAGCAGCAACAACAGCAACAGCAGCAGCAACAACAGCAGCAGCAGCAGCAACAGCAGCAGCAACAACAGCAGCAGCAACAATTGCTGGCCGCCTCGGGCGATGCCAATTGCTCGCGTGTGGCGCCCATCCTCCCACACAAGCTGAGCCCCAACGAGGTGACCGCCGCCCGCCAGGTGATCTCGGCGTACAGGGAGAGCGCCGCCTTCCTGCTGCGCACCGCCGACCAGGTTGAGCAGCTGCTCGTGCAGCAGCAGTAGGCGTGGCAGCAGGCAGCCTGGTAAGCGCCGCTCACGTTGCTATTCGGTGGTGGTTGGTGGTTAGGGTGGTTAGGGTGGGGCAGGTGGATGATGCTAGCCTTGGTGGGTCACTTTCCAGATTCAAGCGACGCTTAGCGCGCGTTTGGATTGTTCCTATATAAATTTAAATTTTAATTAAATTACACAGCAACAGCAACAACAACAACACACAGCAACTAAGCAAACTAGCAAGCAAAAACAAAAACAAATAGTCAAAGCATAGATGCAAAAAACATATAACGAAACAAAACAAAAGTAAAACCATAAATAGAAACAGAAAATAGTCAAAAAGTTCGTTTTTAACAAACATTTTAAGTGTTTTTTCCTCCAAACTACGTACAGCATATTACAAAATAGAATTAACGGTAAACAAAACAAAAATATCCAACAGCAGAAAAAAATACCGCAAATACCGAAAAAATAAACAATAATTACGAATCAGTATATATTGCAATTTATCAAATCAGCAAATTTAATTGTTTAATTGTTTTCTAGTTCAAAAGCTCGTAGATAATACTAAATAATTTCCACAAACTTTTAGCTTAAAAGTAAATTTAAAAAATATATATACATTTTTAAATATATTTTAGAATTTTCAACATATGGAAAATATTTGTTTTTCAAGATTTACAACGAGTTTTTGAACTAGAAAAGAATTCAAACTCTTAAAACACAAAAGAAATAAAAATAATTAAGAAATCAGCAACAGATTTACTAACTACAGTGTCTACTAAAAGTAAAACTACAATAGCCACGCCCAAAGCAAACTCACACACACACACACAAAGTTTTTGTTGAGATTTTAGAAAATTAAAAATTATGAAATTATAAAATAAAAACAAATTTTGATGCTCTACTTAGAGCGAAAATTTCCGGCCCAGTTTCATGTGCGCGATTTGTTAAAAACTAAATATAAAAATACAAAAAAAAAATTAAATAAATAAATAAAATATTTTATTGTATGTAATTAAGTTGAAGTATTGTTGTAAATTTTAAGGCGTATCAGCAAAGAAGGCGAGAGTAAAAAAAACACGTTTTAAGGCAACAAACCACGAAAAATAAAATTATTTAAAATATATGAAAACTATGAGAAAACACAGGGTGATACTTTCAGAAATTAATACAAAAACAAAAGAAACCAAAAAAAAAAAAAAAAAAAAAAAAAAAAAATACTAAGCTAAAATTTAAAACAAAAATTAAAATGTGTAAAAATATAAGGCAAGCGGCATGGCGTAGACGTTGGTATATGTGTATTAAAAAAAAAAAAAACTAAGAAAAAAATTAAAAAAAAAAAACATA